TTTTCTACCTGAAAACTTAATTCAACAGCAGCCTCTGGGCCGGGTCGCCTCTGGGTTCACCGCGGCGGCTGGCAGGTGTTTTTCATCTAAATAATAATAATCTTGGTTTCAGGATTTGAAGTTAATTTATGCGTCAATAAACTGTTTCAGAGGAGTGATCACAGCCCTGCGATGTGTCTCTCACGGCCAGCTCCCAGTTTTGAATAATACTTTGTAATAAATACACCTTGCAGCTATATTTGCTGTGATCAGTGGGAATAAAGTAGTTTAAATATGTTTTTAAGTGAGAAAGTCCACTTGAAAACTTAATACCTGTATATAACAAACTATAGTCCGGTGCGCCTTATGTGTGTGTTATACAGAAATGGCACACATAACTGAGTCTGCGCCTTTTAGTATGGTGCGCCTTATGGTCGTGAAAATACGGTAACTAAGCTTTGAGAATCAAACTGCAAATGTAGTTGCTATTGCATCAAAAACGATGCATCTGCATATAAAACAAAAGAGAAAATGAAAAGTATCTGCAGTCTGAACGGTCAATCCACATATTATCCAACTTCTGATTGCTTTGCAAATTGCTTTTCTTAATAATTCAGGGGTCCGTTTCACAAAGCAGGATTAACAAACTCAGATTTAAATACTCAACTCTGAATTGGTCTAATCTAAGTTCGGAATCTCTCGAGTTTTCGGTTTCACCGCAGCTACTGTGAATTAGTTGAACATGAGTAGAAAAAGCCATTATCAGTGGATTTGATGAGTCACCATGACAATAGGCAACAGGAAGTGCCTATTTCACAGCACTGGAACTAGAGATTTTAATGCAGAAATGAAAGAAACAAATTGAAGAAAGCTTTTAAAAGACAGAGCAACATTGCTACAGCTGCAAGGGAGGAAGATGGCAAAGGAGAAGATTGCAGCTTGAGTAAATGCGTAGGTTTATATGAAGTGCCTGTTGCAGGCTGTTTTAGCATTTATTAAAGCACTCTCCTCCTCCTTCAATCTGAACGGTTCAAGACCGTTCAGATTGAACTCTGACAGTGGTTGTATTTAAGTAGGGATACAAAAGACAATGGCAAAAAGATAGAAGTGATCAAAATTGAGCATCAAGATCTCATGTGTGAATGTAGCCTAACTACTGTCTGATATTAAAAGAATAAAAACAGAAGGTGTGGAGCACAAAAACATACCAGGCCGTGTTGGAAGTCCCCTGTCTGGATTAGGACGAGCATCAACGGGCTCAACTGCAGAGATCAGGAACAGGAAAAACAGGATTAAAGGATGAATGGGACATTAATCAATCTTTGTATTGTTAGTGTTAGGGTACCTGACTTAAACCCAACTTCAAATACTTGTTGTTGCTCTTCTGTCTGCGACTTGATCTAACTTTCACTCTCAGAGTCTGTGGTGTTTTTTATGTGCATGACAAGCAGAATCCTGTCTTTTTTCCAAAAGTTTCAAATTTATAAAATGGCGCACAAACTTCATTACATATGCAGAGCTGATATAACTACATATAGTAAAAAAAAAAGGAGAAAAAAAGCTTCTCTTGATGCAAGGCAAAAAAGGAAATCAGGTCAGTAAGAAAACTGCTCCTTATCAATGAATCACTGATAATCACATTTAGATTACTTCAATAATCTATACTTTAAATCCCTAGTAGTTTATATTAAGTCTAACTTTAAATAGACTGTTTAGGTTAAGTATTACCGTGGTTCTCAGTGTTAGGCTGGTTGAAGCTCTCTGGGTGAATGAAGCCCTGTCTGTCAAAGCCGGGTTCCATCGGAGCAGAGCTGTACGCCTGGTCTGGCATCAGTGCGTCGTTACCATAGCTCACCCTGCCATCAACCTGCAATTGATAGATTGATTTTATTCATCTCACATTGGAGAAATTGACTCGTTACGTTAGCACAACAGTCAAAAAGAGGAAGAAGAAGGTGCCAAAAGGAGGAAAAGGTGCATGGAGGTATATACAGTACATACAGTACATCCTCATATAAATGTATACAACAGCTGAAGTCTCTTATTTAGCAGGATTATTAAACAGGGTTATTGCACAGGATATTAAATGGGAATTTATATAGATGAGTATTTACATATATATAGCTATTGCATTTGGTATTAAATATAAAAAACAGGTAATTGCACAGGGGATTAATAGTAACAGCACATTAGATATTGCACAAGTTCGTCGCATTGTAGAGTCTGTTGGCAGCAGGGATGAATGACCTGCTGTAGAGCTCCTTTTTATAAACAGGGTGTAGGAGTCTTTCCACTATAGGGGCTGCTCAGCCCCTCTACAGTCTGGTGCAGAGGGTGGAAGGTGATGTCCATGATAGATGAAAGCCTCAACAGCACCCTCCTGTCAGCCACTTCCTCCACCGATTCCAGAGTTCAGCCCAGGACAGAAATGGCCTTTCTCACCAGTTGGTTCAGCCTCTTTCTGGCCCGCTCCGCTATGCCAGGGGCCCAGCAGACAAAAGTGTAGAGGAGGGCTGATGTCACCACAGAGTCATAGAAGGTTTTAAAAAGGGGCCTGCTCACTCCAAAAGACCTCATTCTCCTCAGGGCGTTGGTGTTATGAGTCCAGTCCAGGTAATTACTGATGTGAACACTCAGGTATTTGAAACTTTCCCCAGTTTTTATGTCCTGCCCTTGGATGTTCACGGCGGAGTGAGGTGGGCCAGGGGGCTTGAGACTTTGGAGACGTGTGAAGAGTTGAGGACAGGGAGGGGGCTAGTGTGAGGTCAGTCAAACTGGATGAAAAATCTTTTTAACTCGTCTGCAAACTTCATATCACTGTCTGCAGCCCTGCTGGTCCTCTGCCCAAAGCTGGGGATGTTCTTGAGACCTCTCAACACATCTGTGACGTTGTTCAATCCCAGATTGACAGACATTACCGGACACTAGCACAGGGTGGAGGGCTTCCACTTCCAATAAACTCCCTCAGAAACTCGACTCGTCGGGATTAAGTAAGGGCCTCATGTGTTACAACTACTTAATACTGAATAAAGCGCCTTAAGCTGTGGTTTTACAGTCTTAAACCACTTGACCTTAGAATACTTATAGTTTTACAGATGCCATGTTTCACACCCTTAGCTTTAAAGGGGAACACCATTTTTTTACATTGGCCGTGGATGTCTGGGGGACATCCACAGCCAATGTAAATATAACCGCGGATGTCTGGGGGTCAGTGATTCGCCTATATGTTATGAATGCTGGCGTACCATAAAGAATAAATTATGAACAGTTTAGTTTGTGCCTTCAACTCGTTGCCCATAGGAAGACTAGGAAGACGTCACTTGGATATTACAAAACCGAATATCTTCGGAACAGCTCCAAATGACACAAAACTCATATGGGTGAGTAAAACATGATGTAATAACCTACAATCAAGGGGCCAATGTAATACATTTAATATTATTCATACAAACCAGATGGATTCCATCTGTGATTGGGAGCAGGCTGACTCACCCGCACATCGCTCTGCAGGGAGGAGACTTGCTGAGACAGCTCAGACTGGACTCTCTGCACTATGACCGCTGGAATGAAAATGAAGATCAGGAAAAGTAGAAGTCAGAAAGGGTGTGGAAGGAGAACAACAGCAAGCAGCGTGGCTGACGACATTTACTTTTTGGGATTAGGACGCTCCCTAAAGAAAACTTCAGAAAAATAAGAACTAAAATCAGTGTGACTATAAAACGTGTCGAATACATCTCCTTAATGTATCACATATGGTGCGTCTGAATCATCCACTGCCTGAAACCTGACAACAGAAATACGATTTTTCACAAACTCCCATTGGTGCAGTGACTAATCCACACGAACTGGAGTGCAGTTTAGTCCAAGAGCCACATGCTGCATCTTGGTTTTCATACAGTCATTAGACCAGCCATGTTTTCTTTGTCTATCTGAAGAAATCAGAAAAATGTTTCCAACAACATTGGGCTCCATTTTGGTGAGGCATACCGTAGGTAGGCAGAATAACCCTGTAATTTTGAAAGGAGGGTTTGGTTTAACCAAAATACAGTATTCTGATACAATGCGGGCGAATATTGTTTTATGTGCTGCTGCCCTATCATTGCTTCATAACATACATTTCTTTTTAGTAAACATTTACCCCCCACTAGCTCTTTTTTTTATTTTCTTGTTACAACCAGAAATACCAATGTGCTCATAACCACAGCATCGCTGCGGTCAATACTTATTTCTATGGTTTTTCTCAAAGCCTCCTTTTGAGGTTTTCATTTCAAATAATCCCTTTGAAAAAAAACAGGTTTCTAATTCACAGCTTCTTACTGCTTTGTGCTTTTATCATCTACAGTCAACCTTTGTCATAAATCTTTGCGGTTTCCTGCATCTCTAAATGCTGCATTAAGACAAACCTCCTTTTGGATGAGATCAGATCAGGATCATGTCAAACCAAATGGAGAGAGGTTTTGGGATTAGGCTTGTGACTCCTTTTGGTCATAGCTACTCTAGCTAAACAACAGTAAAAAAGTTGTGTGCTCCAAATAAATAGTATACTTAAAGCACCAGCAGGTGAGGTCAGACAGCGTCCTGATACTTTTAAGTAGTAATGAAACGTACCAACTTGTTTCTGGATCTCATTGGCAACGCTGGGCACCTTGTAGAGCAGACCTAATGACTGATTCATCCTCTCATCAATCACACGAAGGTGGGTCAGAACCTAGGATGCAGTTAAAATTGCAGACAATGCTTGAATTTTTTTTAAAACTGTTTTACTATCATTATGTTTCATAATCCCAATAAAAGACAAGAGTTTTCATGTAGGAGGTTCAGCACCTGTGGTCGGATCTGTGCAGCCTTCTTTGGATCGACTGTGCGGACGTGTTCGTAGTGCTTCAGTGTGTGCTGCCTGTCCTTCTGTTCAGCACGGACGTACTTCTTCAGCAGGCTCAACACCTGCCGGGGCTGTTGGAGGCAGGAATCATTAAGTTAGATGTTTTTCATACGACTGCTTCAGTTTTTGAGGGTTTTTTTAGAAGACAAACCCTAAAAACTAATACACGGTCTTGTAAGGCAAGGCAAGGCAAATTTATTTGTATAGCACAATTCAGTACAAAGACAATGCAAAGTGCTTTATATGATAAAAATATAGGAAAATAAAACAGAATCAAAGCTAGTAGGGAAAAAAATAAAATAAAATAGAAACAAAAAAGAACATTAAAAACAGTTGGACTGAAGAAAATAAAAAAGTTGAACTAATGATGTTTCAGTTGAACTGTTTAACTAGAACAGTCGAAGGCAATCCTAAACAAATGTGTTTTTAGTCTTGATTTAAAGGAACTCAGGCTTTCCGCACTTTTACAGTTTTCTGGAAGTTTGTTCCAGATAAGTGGAGCATAGGAACTAAATGCTGCTTCTCCATGTTTAAATCATAGTACCTTCTACATAG